CCGCTCAGAGCATATATACTATCTGAGATGCGCTTTTTAACTTCAGATGCCGGTGTGAAATCAGTGAAGTGTGCTGGGGGCTGCTGGAAATAATGCACACTTTGGAGCGTGAATAGAGAGCAGGGAATAGTCAAGATTGATACTGGGCCGCATAAAACAGCAGATTTTCTATTAACTTTTTGTGCTGCACAGAGAAGGGAAACAAGAGTTGCTGTATGTCACAACTGTTATACGCACAGTTGTCAGTTTTGATGGATGTTGCTCAACTTTCTCAGAAAATCATGTACAGGGAATGAATAATCTGCAGAAGCGAACAGCAAGTTTCAATTGAAGTCGTCCTCTGTAAATTAACTGTTGGAAACTTATTTTAAACAATAGACAAGGATTCTGTTCCCTTATAGACAGAAAAAGGCCTTTTGCTGCCCATATTAACAAGCTACCATGGAAGTCTATTTTATCGCACAGTTACCTTTATACTATTACTGAGACAGAAACATGTGATTTAAGTAGGTCTTAGCAACATTTTGGATTTGGGTTTCATTCTGTGGAGATTAAATACCATTTGAATGTAAATGTGTTCCTCATGTAAATCAAGTTTGTAGTCATTTTTAATATTCTTATTCATATTCTTATTCTTATATAAACTCCCAATAAGCATTTTATAATTTATGGCTATAATTAAAAGAAGTCCTAAATGTCTCACTTGGTCAAAATAGAATTGTATATACTACCATTTAACAGCTTGTGGCCGGTAAGGTTAATGCTTATGCTCCGATATCATTTGATCGTAACAGTAATATAACAGTAATACTATGAAATATTATTACAATTTAAAATAACTGTTTTCAGTTTAATTTATTTTAAAATGTAATGCATTCCTGTGATGGCAAAGTTTTACTAAGTTAAAATTTTTCTCCAGTCTTCAGTGTCACACAATCCTTTAGAAATCATTCTAATATGCAGATTTGGTGCTCAAGAAAATTGAAATATTTTGTAAGATTATAAATGTGTTTATAAAAATTGTATATTTACTGTTACCTATTACTTTCGTAAAAAAAAAAAAAAATCTTACTTGCCCCAAACTTTCAAACAAAACAGAGCATTATATACACTATTAAAGGGGTCATATGATGTTGCTAAAAATAACATTATTTTGTGTATTTGGTGTAAAGCTCTTAACACTCCAAAGAGAAAGGAACAATTTAAATCGCATCATATGACCCCTTTAACATTTGCAAACATAGGGCTTAAGCTTAACTAAATTTGTGAATGCATTTTTGGTTCCCATCACATCTGATCCTTCAGTTTCAGTGGGGACTCAGAACTAAACGAGAAAAATGGTAGGCCTAAGTCAAAAATAAAGCACATAAATTAGGCTAATGGTATTAATTATAAGCTCTATAAGCATTTGGGGCCTAACTGCATTTGTGAGCGATTTTTCATTCTCAGTAAAAACTCAGTAAATCCCTCGAAGTCTTCCTCCTCCATATCACTGTTAAAGAGCTCAGCCAACTCCGTAGACAAACTGGCATGCCCACCTCTGTCGAGTCATCAGATTCGACATTGTGATCCTCCATGACACCAGTCTGCTGGAATCCTGCCAGGATGGTGTCGAGGCCATGTCAATCCGCTCCACAACATCCTTGAATGTTGCATGATGCATCCTCCCGGAGGTGAAGCTGTGGTCACCATACTGGTTTCCCACAACTGACATTGTGGTGTAGTGTGACACGGGCCTAACAGTTTGAAGCAGCACTGCAGAATAATGTTGCCATCGGAAGAAACAGCAGGTGTGAATAAATCAGCGGTCAGGGTTTCCCCACACCTCTACCTCGACTGGATTGTTACTGTAGCTGTCACTCTGTCGGCCACCCACGGAGACTTGTTCTAATAACATCCCAGCATGCCAGAGGCATGAGCAGGAGAGTTGGTCGATCCCAACATGACCGACAGTGTTGTGCGGTTTCATCTTCTCTGGCCACTGCATGAATTTGTCAACACCGAACCTGATCTCTGCAAACCCCTGTGGAGCTCGACTGTGCCCCATGGAACTGTGGGTAGATTCAAAGCCTCAGCCCACACACCACATCACAGAAATCACATACGCTAATGATGAGCGATGCATTTTGATACAGGGATTATTAATAGACCTGGGCTTGGAAACATTCAAAATATAAAAGTAAAAGAATTTCAAACTGATGTTAATATCTTTTTTAATACAATGTTGAATGTGAGCGATACGGCAATTGCATTTCCAATGGGATAATTTACCACAAATGAAAATTATGTAATTATTTGCTTACCCTCGTGTCTTTCCAAACCTGAATGCTGTAAGTTATTAGATTGTTTAATGCTTCTGGAAGACATTATGAAGCCACAGCCATATCACCCTGCAGCCCAAGACTGGTTGCCCACTGAAGCTAAGCAGGGTTGAGCCTGGTCAGTACCTGGATGGGAGACCTCCTGGGAAAACTAGGTTGCTGTTGGAAGAGGTGTTAGTGAGGCCAGCAGGGGGTGCTCACCCTGTGGTCTGTATGGGTCCTAATGCCCCAGTATAGTGACGGGGACACTCCCGACCGTCCTTCGGATGAGACGTTAAACTTGGTGGTTGAGAAGAGACCCCCTCATATGATTGTAAAGCGCTTTGGGTGTACAGCAATACACAATAAAAGTGCTATATAAATGCCTCATTCATTCATATTATCTATACAGCAACAGTTTAGAGTGGCCACAACACTCTATCACATCTACTCATGCAATGTATTCCAGGGCATATGAAGTAATTGTTCATTGATAATCTTCACCTCCACTGCTGCTCTCAAACAAATATGGCATCTGTGGCAGGTCAATAACATCAAATGTCATTGGTTTTAGAATGTCGCCAAATGTCATGACATCTTGTTTGTACTTTCAGGTGAATCTTTGCCACTAGCCACCTCCAACCAGATCCTTATCCGCTTCTCTTCCAAGGGCCAGTCGAGCTCAAGAGGGTTCCACCTGGTCTACCAAGGTAAGTTGAGAGTTTCGAGTTCTCTTCCTGTATTGCAAAAGTGGTTTTCATTTTTTTTTTATTAAAGGAGGCATAACACACACACAGTTTCACCCAATCTCATGTTAATCTTGAGTACCTATAGAGTCGTACTGCATCCTTCATATCTCCAAAAAGTCTTGGACCGCTCCATCTTTCAGTATCAAACGATGTGCAAATCCAGCTTCGAACTGGGCCTTGTTTATAAAACGTTCGTCAACAAACACACTTGTGAAACTCCGATGCTGCCCTGGAAAAACAAACTGTATCCACTGTTTACATAACGCTGGGTTCTTTAGGAAGCTGAAAAAAGTTATCTTTCCCTTACAACCAAAAACACACTTCTTTGGGGACATTCTTCCTGACTGAGTCCCGTGCAGCGTTGCCGCCGGATGAAGCTCGTTGATGGGTGCGATCTCGCTCTCGCTCTCACTCTGGTCGATGTGTGCACGGGCATGCTATTCTGGGAGAAATGCCCATATAAGGAGTTACACCCTCGTCTACGTCATGAAGAGCCACGATTGAAAAAAACTCTCCGAAACTTGTACGACCCCGGAATTAAGACTTTTAGCACAGAAATACTCCGTCATACGTCCAAATTGTTTTTTGAAACTTTGTCCATGCTTAGCACGAGAATCCAACTCTTTAACAGTGTAAACAACTCTGAATGCATGAAACAGCATTGTATCCCCCCCACACTTTAACCAGGGTTGTGTGCCTTTTAGAGCTGAGTTGAGAATGCCTTTTTAACTTCTAATTTTGAATTGAGAATTTGGCAGAAAATATTTAAACTGGAATGAGATTCCAAAAAAGCAACTGTTATTTATATAAAAAAATCTTAATCCAATTCAAATAATATTGATATTTTAATAATAATAATAATAATAATAATACGACATTATTATATTTATAATATTTTTATTACCCATAAATAAATGTTAGCACACACAGCATATGCTGTATTTCCAGAAATTGTATGTGATATAAATTTTAAATACTCCCTTTATATGGTAACAGTAATGTTACATTTGTTAACCTTATTTGATTGGTAACCTTATTGATGTAAAATACATGTTAATTTCATATAGGCTCAAGTTCATTAAATAATATTAACAGAGACATGTTTTGATTTTAATAATGTATTAGTAAATGTTGAAATGAACATGTGTTTTACATTACTAATATACATGCACACTATTTACACAATTTACATTATTATTTCCCATAAATTCACCCATTTTAACCCAAAGTCTCCAAATGTATGAAATCTTCTGATGGACATTTTGAATTTCTTCTCATTTAATTTAATTAAATTCAGGTTCAACATCTTAAAATTTCTCGATCATGAACTGGAAGGAAACCAATTGTTACATTCTCAGTTGTGGCCAAGCCTACTATTAACTGCACAAATGTTGTGTGTGGGACATTCCTATCATAACTTGTGGTTATGTGAAAGCAGTCAGTTCTGATTGAGACAGGTGCAGTCATCTGAATTAGGTACTGAATTATTCAAACAATGTGCCCATGGTCTTTCTTTCTCTCTCAGACACACACACACACACACACACACACACACACACACATATTACAAACAATGCTGTAAATGTGCTCTACCTCTTTGGCAGCCATGGGGCCTCCTGTTAAAATGTGCTTTAACAGCCTGCGTCTTTCTCTATAATAGATAGCGTGGTTTTTAGGAGCTAAAGCAGCATTATTGTATTATCTTGCCTCCCCTGTGGTCTACAGTCGTACGCTTGTTCATTTCCTGCCGTGTCCTTAATGGAAAAGTACAGCATCTTATAAAATTGTAAAAAATTAGTGGTGTTCTGGGACATCCCAACCAGCTGTGTGCACTGTTCCTACTGTGTGGTTCACACTTAAAGTGCCAGTTTCACTAACAATCTGGTACATGACTGCATATATAATGTATTGCAAAGAATTTCTCACTTGGCAGTTGCCGTAAGATCCCGAAGGTCTTTTGTTTGTACAAGTTCATCTAACAGTGGTGCATTTATTTGCTTTAGCTGTCCCGAGAACCAGTGCGACACAGTGTAGCTCAGTCCCAGAGCCCAGACACGGCAGGCGCACGGGGAACAACTTTGCAGTGGGAGCCGTGGTGAGTTTTGAATGCAATGCAGGATACGTCCTGGAGGGGCCCAGTGCCACCGAGTGCCTGACTGTACCCAACGCTCTGGCCCAGTGGAACGGCAGCATGCCCAGCTGCATTGGTAAGAGCACTATCACCTCACACTTCTCTCACTTTCCACGATCATCATTCCAACAAGAGCCAGATGTTGAGTGAGCTCACCCATCTAGTATGTTGATGAGCAGGGGTCTCGAATTCAAATTACCTAGGGACCACTAGCCAGGTGGTGTGCTCTATTGGGTGCAAACACATATACAAGTGTTTTTACAAACATGAATTTGAACTATATTCAGTTACTGGCACAGCTGAACAGTTATCGATGCATGTACAGACCATTTTGGAGGTTTACTTACTCCATTTAGTGGGGTAAGGTTGCTTAGATTGAAATCCTTAGAGGTTTCCGTCTCATTAGGACACCAGAAACATCTCAGTTTGGCTTTACTATAATGTCAGTTATATCAAATATCATTATTTATTTCTTAAATACAGGCATTTATTTATATCTACATTTGTATTTTAAGAAATAAATGTTTTTATTATAATTTATTAATAAATGAATACATTAAAAATATTAGCACAAAAAGTTTTTCGGCAACAAGTTCACACATAATGTTTTTAAAAATTATGGGCAAAATATAAATAACAAAAACAACCAGGACACATACATGTAGGTATTTAATTTATTTAATTTAGTGTTAATTAATACATTAAATGTAAAATTGTTTAAATGGTTATAAAAATATAGAAATATATCTATCCAATTATTCATTTGTGTGTTTATTATTACTTTTTCGTTATGTATATATTGTATTAATAATATTGTTGTTATATTTAGCATATTTATAGCTGAAATATAGTGCAAAAATAAATAAATAAAGAGTATTTAGTCAGGTGGCTGAAAAATATATACATAAATACATACAAAGAGCCAGGACATATAGGTATTTAATTTATTTAAATTATTGTTTATTAATATATTAAATTTAAAATATAAAGACAAAACTCAAAATTTAACACAACTAATGGGGTCTGTGCACAAGCGTAGTTTGAGTGAAGCTAGGATTGATAAGCCAACAGTTACAAGCTTGTTACTTTAATAACCCTGCGTTTCTGATGTTCCTGGGGATTTAGCTACGGTAATTCATGTTTAATATAGCTTAATATAATCATATATAATATAAAGCAACCACAATTATCATACCAGTAATTTCCCCTGTACTTTCTATCCACAATATGTTGCAAGTTATGCATAGCATTTAAGTTCATAATGGAGGACCCTTGTGTGAACATTCTCCTATTGATTTCAATTCAATCGTTTTTTTTTTTTGTTTTGTTTTTTTTTCTTCAAAGCAGAACACTTGTTTGTATAATCGGGCCATAGTACATTTAATCAAAAGGGGAGAAAAAAGAAAAGCATGAAATATGAATATAAATATATATTAATATTAAATCGTGAAATATTAAAATATTAGTATACAGATTTTACGCTACACTGAAAATGGACACATTGCTAACTACTGTAGCTTAGCAGCACTAGATTAAACCGGTAGTTGTGTATAACTTGATATAAAGAGTTTGAATCACTTGTTCCCGCTTGCTTGCTGGAGCAGGGGACCAGGCATCAATGATACGATGGCATCACTGATGCTTATTTTAGGCAGATCTTGGAGGCATCTAGTAAATACTGCCAATTTGGGAGATGTGAAAGTAAACCGGAAACTGATATCCTGACTTCTGACGACCGCAGAAGTTTGTCACTATGCTTGTGCACAGAACCCATTCACAATGTTTCTAAAAAATATAAAAATGTAATTATTCATAATTATTATGTATAAACATATGTAAATATTCATAATTATATATAAAATAAATAGAAACAAGACATCCATCTACTGAAGGCACAGCTCCTCAATGGGTACTTCTAGAGTAAATAATGACATTGAAGATAATGGGAGCAATGTAGTTTTGTCAATTTTCCTTGGAAATTTGATGAAATAGTAAAACTTTTATTTTTTTCAGTTAGTAGATCTTACACTTGCTTAAGTGATGCATGTTTACTTGTGTCCCCATCCTCAAAGCGTTTGCTTGGATGAGCACTGTGTTAGATTCACATCACAGCTCTGGTGGTTTTCCTGTGGGGACACAGAGCAAACAGACTCCTACTCCTGCTCCTCTTGAGAGAGAACCGTCACCAGCAAACTCTCCCTGTGCCTAACGAGCAACGGCACACAGCTGTGGGCCAGCAGTCATGGCCTCCAGTGTGTCACACATCCACAAATGCGCACATGTGGCAGATGTTGCCACAGGTATCTGTGTGTACACACTCAGATATCCACACTCATGTGCAGCTGTTTACATGTGCGCTTCACTGCAGCTACCAGATGCTTGACCACAGGAGCTGTATGAGGAAGAAGGTGGTGTCCTGGAAGATTACAAATGCCCTTCCATACTGTAGGCGGTTTGTGTGCTTTTCCTTCTTTACCCGCTCTTGCATCATTTCGTGTTTTTGTCTGTGCTACAGTGCCATGTGGAGGGAATCTAACCCAGCGGATAGGCACTATTCTGTCCCCTGGCTATCCTGAGCCCTACCTGAACAGCCTGAGCTGCGTATGGAAGATCAGTGTGCCAGAGGGAATGGGAATCCAGGTACGGTCCTTCTAGCAACAATAAAACACCATTTCCCCCCTTTTCTAAGGCCATTATGAATACAAAGGAATACAAAGCATTTTAAGTATCTTTTGCTCTCCAAGGCAGCATTTACAGTATTTGATAGAGTATACAAAAATACAGTAAAAATAGAAGTATTGTGAAATATTATTGCAATTTAAAGTACTGTGACTATTTTGCTATATTTAAAAAATGTAAATTATTCTTGTAAAGGTAAAGCTCAATTTTCAGGAGCCATTACATATGCTGTGCATAAGAAGCATTTCTTATTATTGTGCTGCTGTGGAAACAGTGATACTTTTTGGATGAATAGAAAGTTTAAAAAAAAAAAGCATTTGCTTGAAATATATATTTTTTTACATTGTATATGTCTTATCTATCAATTTTGATCAACTTATTGCATCTTTGCTGAATAAAAGTATTAATTTCTTTCAAAAAAATTGTATTGACCCCGAACGCAGCAGCCGAACTTCCCATCAAAACAACATAGCATTCAGACACGATAAAGCACAATATGCTTTTTTCTTGTTCTTGTTTGAAAAAATGAATATGAATGCTTTTTGTTTGCTGATTGTCTGCGGTTGGTTTAAATGCCAAATTTCTAAAGAGTTTATTCAACACTTTATATAGACTAATTTATATTCAAGTGGATTTTTTTCTCCTTGGGAAACTTATGATAATTTCAACTCCAGTCATATCAAATATGTCATGAATGTCACGTGGCATTTAATGGCATATTTTTAAAAGTATATATGGGCTAATGTGGGCTGTTATAGCCTATATGGGCCAAATGCATGCTTTTAAAATATATATTATAAATAAAATATATAATATACACCACCATTCAAAAGAGGGTCGGTAAGATTTTTTAATGGTTTTGAAACAAATCTCTTCTGCTCAGTAAGGTTGCATTTATTTGATCAAAAATACAGTGAAAACAATAAATCTACAATTTAAAAGAACTGCTTTCTATGTTTTAAAATGTGTTTTTCCTCTCATGCTAAAGCTCCATTAATCCAGCTTTCAGTGTCACATGATCCTTCAGAAATCATGCTGATTGCTGCTCAAGAAACATTTCTTATTATTATAGCTGTTATATATGGCTGAAATGGTTATGAAGCTTAATAAAATGTGTGGAGGTGTTTTCATTTTTTTTAAATATAAATTTGAAATGAAAAATAGAAATGTGAATTCAAATGATTTAAAATATAATTTCTTTTATTGCACACATTGCATTTTTTATTGCACATGTACAATGCAAGACATGGAACATATCATGTATAAGTATCTTGAGTCAATTTCGTTGTTTTTCCGAGAAAATAATGGGTCGTCTCAACCGTAACTTCAAAAAGCCCCGGAGAAGCCAAGGCAGAACACCGTATAACATCAGTTACGGCTCTTTCACTTTGTTTGGAATGCTCAAATTGAGTTACGGCATTCTGCCTTTGTTTAGCCACACGTCAATATGAAGTTACGGTGCTGGCTTGGAGTATTTTGTAAATGGTGATCAGCAACCAAATATTGATCATGTGGACGTTACTGCCTTTTGCCTTGGTGTGACTTCTCACGTTTTGCAGACAGTGCAAAGGCAGAATACATTAACTTCAAAATCGAGGTAAAAATCAAGTTTGAGCTCACAATTTTTTAATGTAGATCATTTTCATTACTAAAACTGTAATTGTTAAATTGTTAAATTTCCAGTGTCCTACCTATAATTAATTTGGCTGGACAAGTAAAAAACTTTAAAGTCATTTTTCCTCAGTTTCGCACTCTAGGCGAGTTAAGGTATTTTGCCTTTGTAGGGCAGCACAACACACTGACATACAAAAAAAGCTAGATTTGAAATTTTATGGACAGTTCTGGTGCAAGAAACTATGGTGGAGAGAGACAGTATCAAAATATGTAACGAGTCAACACACTTATCTCTTTTTCTGTGATTTTTCTAGCACTGCCTGAATTTTTCAGGGGTAAATTCAGTTGTATAATGCCGTTATCACTTCTTGTGCAGTGTGTACTGGGCTGAGTGTCACTACATATTCTTTGACACTTTTAAATGCGGTCACGGTAGAGCATTTAACAAGTCTTCAGTGCTTCAACTCGGTTACTTTTTTAACCGTATCAATTTTTCATTTCAGTGCAGACCATAAAAGTTTAGATTCTCGGGGAGAAGGCAGTTATAATCTTCAGATTTTGAACAGTATCGCTACAGCCATAATTTCCTCCAGTCATACATGTATTTAGGCGTTACCTTTTTGGCACCTCCACAAGCTGGTTGTAAAGAGCTTTTTGAGATTATTTGCCACCTACTGTAGGTGGCCGTCTCTCTAAGGGATGGATTTCAATCAATAATGCAATAATGGGTAACACTTTATTTTGATGGTCCCTTTTGAACATTCTGTTGACAATAAATAATGTTGCACCTACATGTCTACTAACTCTCATCAGAGTATTAGTAGACTGTTTGCTTAATATCTGCTAAGTCTTTATTGTCATGGTCGCCCAACAGACATTCTACTGACTATAAGTAACTTTGCAAGTACATGTCAACTTATTCTAACCCTAACCCTACCAGTCTACCGATACTCTACTAATATTCTAATGAGAGTTAGTAGACATGTAGGTGCAACGTTACTTATAGTCAACTGAATGTGTTAAAGGGACCATCAAAATAAAGTGAAACCCAATAATGTAATAAATATATATATATATATATATATATAAAATACATTATTGCATCTTTCATTATGTCTATTCTAAAATGAATTCCTGTAGCCTTTCACAGGACTTAATGACTACAGACCTGTTGCTTTAACATCTGTGGTCATGAAGGCATTTGAGAGACTGGTGTTGGCCTACTGAAAGGATATTACTGAATCCTTGCTGGACCCCCTGCAGTTTGCTTACCGATCAAACAGGTCTCTGGATGATGCAGTCAATATGGGACTGCACTACACCCTCCAACACGTGG